TAACTGATCCAGCTGGGGAAGGCAAGCAGAGATATTATGGGAAGTTCGTGTCATCGCACTGGCGACGCCCCGCATAGTTGTTTGAAGAGGAGCAGGTGCAGGTGGTCACAAGCCTGGTGGCCTTCCTGGGGGGGAACTAGAGAAGTGCTGTTGTTTGAGTGTGTCTGCAAAATTCGCTTGTTGGGGAGTAGTGGTGAGAGATAGCTGAGTGAATAAAGCACTTGCCCTGTAAGCGTGAGGACCTGAGCTTGATCTCTAGAGCTGAAAAACAAAAAACAAAAAACAAAAAGCAAAACAAAACAAAACAAAAACCAGCTGGTGAGAAGGCTCTGTGGGTCAGAGCACTTGCTGTCATGCCTAATGGTCTTGGTTTTGATTTCTGGAAATCACACAGTGGAAGGAAAGAGCTGAATTGTCTCTGATTTCCACATGCACACCACGACACATGCAACCCCACCCCCGTCTCTCTCACTCATACATACTAAAATATATGTAAACAAAAATAAAAAGAGTAGGAGGAAAAGAATGGAAGGGCCCCTGAGGAACATTTGAGATCATCTGCCGGCCTCCACAGACCTGCACACATACAAGCAAGAGTGCACACACACACACACATACACACACACACACACACACACACACACACACACACACAGATGCATTTGTATGTTGAACATTGCCCTTCCAAATGTGTATGTTAAGGGAGTCTGGGGGTGAGATGCCTGGGAGGTCATTAGGGCTGGATAAGATGACAAGGATGGGTCCACTGTGGAAGCATTGGCGGCTTTATATGAAAAGGAACATTTGCTTGAGGTATAGAACAGCACATCTGTTGTATTATGTGGTACCCTACTCCATGTGGTGATAAAGCCTAAAGGCCCTCTCCAAATTCCTGCACCATGCCGTTGCATCTTCCAGACTTTAAACAGTGATCCCCAAACTCTCTGTTCTTTGTATCTAGTCTTGGGTATTTTATTATAGCAACAGAAAACGGATTGATGCTCACAGTTAGCCTTGGGTTATTTCTACCATAGTCCCTGCTTTCTGCATAATGTGTCTAGTACCAGGGTCTCACCTAGGTAGGTCACACCATCTTTTATCTCTGCCATTGGCTCTGTTGCTGCTGGGTGAGGGACAGATGTTTTGATGGCCCACTGGAGTGGGCCAATGCCTCAATAAGCCGACAGGGCTTGAAGGTGGCTCATGGGAGTGTGTCGGGAGCTGAGAGAACTTTAAAAGGTGGGGTGGGGTCTAACGAAAAGCCAATGAGTTGTTGGAGGCTCTACCCTCAGGTAAGGTTAAGGCGAATCTTGTTCCCACGACAGCAAGTAGTTTTAAAAAGAACAAGCCCAGCTCCTGAGATTGCTCAGGTTCTTGTTCATCAAGTGATCTTGTCCCACCCACTCCTACCATCCACCATGTTCTAAGGAAGCTAAGGTGGCCCTCACCAGAGACCACAGATGGTACTCCTGAGCTTGGACTTTTAGTCTCCAAATGGAGCTATATAAACCTCTCCCATTTATGCACTATGCACCATACATCACCCAGTCTTGTTCAAGCAACAGGAAATGTATGAGTGCAGAGAACTGCTGGAAGAACTGAGCGGCATAACTCACATAAAGTTCCCAACTCTCAACAAATCAAAGTTCTCTTGATTAGCCAGAATCAAGCAAGGATGACATGTGCATCCCAGGGCTGGATAGGACATGTTTTCAGTACGATGGTAATTCCACTCATCACTGAGTGGACCACTGTATGTGAAGAGATATTACTCCATCGCTACTCCCAACAGGTGCATTGTGTGTGTGTGTGTGTGTGTGTGTGTGTGTGTGTGTGTGTGTTTGGCGGAGGGGCTCTGTGTTGGAGGCAACTGGGCAATTATTAAGCAGCAAATGCTGCTGTGATTTGAGATGAAGGCACATGCTAAGGTGGTGCTTACTGGAAGAGGTGAACTGGGAGAGGTGGGAGGGACTTGAAAGAACAGAGGGAAATGAGGAAGATTTTTCAGGCCGGGCACAGAGGATAGGAAAGGCTGAAGATCGGGGAGGCAAAAATCCGCAGTGGAAGATGCAGAAAGAGTGAGAAGACATTTGGGGGGATATGGAGAAAGAATAGCATGGAGCTCTGTCACGGGAAGCCTGGGGACAAGTGAGAAAGGCACTTAAAGGAAAAAGGGAAGCACCTTGGGTTTGGTGGAGTTCAAGCTGAGGGGGAACAATGGCATTTGGTAGGGACGCCCCCCCTCCACACAAACAGGCATGAGGCAAGCAAGTCTTGTCCACAGGCTCTTTTTGATCAGCATTCTCCTGCATTCTTACTTCTGATGTGCGCAGGCTCCTGCCTCACAGCCAGTGAGTTCCGCCATCCCACCCAGAAAGGAGACTACATATCCTGACAGTATAATAGGCTCAGCAGAGAAGGCAGTACTGTCACTGCAATGGTGACAGTGGGCTCCAAGCCCTGCCAGGTAGCTTTAGCAACTTTCTAGTCTTCCTTGTCTTACTAATTAGGAGACTCTATCTCACTGACTTGGGCTACAAATCTCAGAGAACAGCTCAACTTTCATAACTGGCTACTAGAACCAGGTACATTTCATATTTATTTTTAGAGGCCAAATGCTTGAAACCCATATGTGGTCCCTCACTGTATTACAGGGACCAGCAGAAATGCTGCTGCTGACAGAGAGTGACATCTAAGTGGCTCTTCGGTGGCTTCCAAACTTGCAGACTCTTCAGCCCTCGGAGGGTCCTGCCGTACCTCCCCCATACTCTCCTCTGGTTCCCTTGTGCGACTCAAGGAAGTGTGTCCAGGGTACAGGAAGCCTTTTTACCTCAACATAAATATTTGTGAACACTGGAGCCAACGGTGGAGATCCCCTCCCGCTTTCTTGCAGCTTCCATAAATAGAATACAGTCATCGGAGTTTAAGCCGCCCAAGATGAAATAATTGCTTAACAATCATATAAGACAAAATGATTCAACAAATGACAATGCCGCCCCTCGATATAAGGAACAGGTGCATTCAGTGTACCATATTATAATGTGCTAATGCAGGATTGACAGCACAATAATAGGAGTGAGCAGCAACTCAGCCTATAATTCCAAGCCAAATTCGAGGCTGTCCACAGAACTCAAATCCTAGCAGGCTATAAAATTAGAGGTAACACTGTGCAAGGTTCAAGACGACTCATTAGCAGGTTGGCAGAGTGTTTCAGGAGCAAATGTGTCTGTTGAAGGAACTAATTTTGTGCCATCTTTGGCTTGGTATTTTTTTTTAAAACAAACATTTGATTTTTTATTAAGCATGCAGATACAGTCTCCCCCGGAGAGGGATGTAGTTTTAGGATCTGGTCATTGCAGCCAGTGGGGCATAGCAAAGACATTGGGGTGAGTGATTGGGTGGCCAGAATTGGGGAGTAGTCTGGGTGTGTTAAGGGATGAGACACAACGCAGAGGTGATAGTGCTTTTGTTTGTTTGTTTGTTTGTTGACAGGGTTTCACTCTGTGGCACTTGCTAGCCTAGAACTCACTTTGTAGACCAGACTGGCTTCAAACTTATAGAGATTTGTCTACCTCTGACTCTTCTAAGTACTAGGATTAAGGGCACAAAGCACCATGCCTAGTGAAAGTGACAAACAGTATTTTGGTCAGGCCTATTATTTTAAAAAGTATTCTCCTTATGCATATGAATTTTTTTGGTCAGTATGAATGTGCACCTGTGAGATCTCCTAGAACAGGGGTTATAGATAGATGTGGGTGTTAGGAATTGAATCTGGGTCCTCTGCAAGAGCAACAAGTGTTCTTAACTGCAGAGATACCTCTCTGGACCCAATTCCAGTTAGTCTTACCATTTAAGAGTACCAGGACTCCCTACCGGCTCCTTAGGTTATTTCCACATGTCAGAAAGGGTTGGATCAAGGATATAATTAAGAGCAATTGTGGTAAGAATCCTTCTAGGTTCAAGCTTTCTGAACCTCTTAGCAAACATATATAATCCCTGCCTTGTCTGGGCAACCCTGTTAGCTTGAGGGTCCTTGGGATTGGTTTTCAGGTATGATTAGATACAATAATGGGGAGATGACGGATAGGAAGGAAGGACTTCATTCTCACACAGGAAACAAGTCATGCTACCCAGGGCCTCATGGGGAAGCACCAGGGCTGGTCAGGAAGTGAGGGCAAAGCACGCAAAGGACTCTGGATTGCAGTTTCAGGGGGAGGGAGTGTGGCTGCTCTTGGCCACTTAGTCTGAGTATTGGGCAAAAGCCTGGAGATTTGGATGAACCACAAGACTCCTGGTCCTTTTCTGAGAGAATGTCTCTCACCTTTATTGTGGAGCAACCTTATATACAAATTTACAAAAACCCCAGGTCAAAGGGTTCACTACAGGATCCCAGTTGGGTGAGGTCAGGAAAACAGGAGGTACCTGTGGTTATGCTGGAAAACAATCTTAGAGACCCCATGGGGCTGGGTTCCAACAAGGGAGCAGGTGAGGTAAGGCAGGCAGGCAGGCTTAGGGCTGGCTGGTGTGATGAATTCAGTAGGCTCTGTGCCAAGAGTCCCTGTCCAAGGTGCTGGCCCTGGAGAACTGCAGGCAGGCAGCTCGTGAATGGCCTGCAGCAGTAGAGCTTGCTAAAGGATTGGCCGTGGTGCACATGACAAGTGTCCAAGTGGCGCTTATTAATTTTTCTCTGAGAATTAGCTTTCCCTGGGGTGGGAGGGACAATCGTTTCAGAGTCAGTGAGGCCCCAAAATATCAAAGCATTTGTCTTAGTTAGGGTTTCTAGTGCTGTGACCAAGGCAACTCTTATAAAGGAAAGCATTTAATTGGGATGGCAGCTCACAGTTTCAGAGGTTCAGTCAATTATCATCATGGTGGGCAGACGTGGTGCTGGCTACATCTTGATCAGAAGGCAACAGGAAGAGGTCTGAGACACTGGGTGGTATCTTGAGCATAGGAAACCTCAAAGCCCACCCCTACAGTGACACACTTCCTCCACCAAGGCCATACCTACTTCAACAAGGCCACACCTCCCACTAGTACCACTATCTTTGGGGGCCATTTTCTTTCAAACCACCATATGAGTGGTGGTATATATGTATTTCAGCAGATCAGGAAGCCAACAAAGGAATGCCTATCATCTCTTCCTCCCCTTTTTTAAAAAAAAAAAAAAATCCTCTGGCAGTAGGATAGACCATGGAAATGACATCAGCCATATTCAGAGATGGCATTCTACCCAGCTTAACTCTTTCTGGAACCATCCCAGAGACAGACCCAGAAGTATGCCTAATCATCTCTATTAGGTGATTTGCAATTCATTACAGTTGACAATGGCAATTTACCAACACACGTGGGAAGTGGGAATTGACCCGCTCAGGACCCTCTGTGTAACATGACCTTACCAGGTGGCCATCTCAGATCACCAGAGCCAATGTGAGCCCTTCTTCAGAGCCTGCCCTTGGAGTCTGGGTTATCTGGGAATTTGCAGCTTAGTCCTAATCTACATTGAGTAGTGAAAATAAAAGGGGTAGTTGTTCTGGGGTAGTTATTCTGGGGATTGCTTCTGTAGATGATGCAAAGTCTGAGACATGAAGAGAGGATGAGAGGCCATCCCAAGTCAGCATCATCTGGGAGCAGTTCCCATCTCCAGGCTGGAGAACTGAACGAGGATGAGGAACTCTAGATTCCCTGAGCCCAGGTATCCTTCGGGAAGTGTGAGCCCTGTCTGATGGAGGAGCCAGGTAGGTCAGGGGAACCGCTGGTTTTCATGAGGGAAAAATATCACCTTCCCTGTGTGAAAAGCAGAATACAGATGCCTTAGGAGTGGTCAGAACCATTTCACCTTTAAAATTCCAAGACTGCCATTCACAGCCCATCTCTGTTCCATTTGTTGCAGTAATGCTTCTTATTTATAATGCCACGTGAACCTTCAAGTGACTTTGTGCATGATTTGACACAGGAGCCCTTTGAGAGTCTCATGCCTGGACAGTAAACAAAACAAAGTGACTACAATAATACCAGAGTCCCTTAGTAGATAGAGACCACTCAGGGCTTCTCTGCTTAGGGGACCCTTCCCTACAGCCCATTACCCAGACTCCCATTGTTGTAATTCCCACCCTATTATCAGCTTTATTCTGGACTCAGGTCCTGGGTGGGACAGAGAAAGACAGCCCTGTTCACGGCTGGTCCACTCTTTTGTATCAGTTCCAAGTTTGGGTAGAACTATTGTGGTTTTGTTGTTTTTGTTAGTTTAAGACAGGGTTTCATGTAGCCTGGGCTGACCTTGAACACTGTATGCAGCCTATAGCTTTGAACTGACCCTCCTTGCCTCTATCTTCAAGTGTGGCATTCCAGGCATGTCCCCATTCCTGGTTGGGTGGGCCTATTCTGATTAGAAGCCAAAATCACATGTGTGGCCACTTAACTTTTCAAGAAGAGCCAAAGAAACACTATTTCAACTACTTTAAAAAACCAGTTAGTTGCAGGGCTGGAGAGATGGCTCAGAGGTTAAGAGCACTGGATGCTCTTCCAGAGGTCCTGAGTTCAAATTTCCAGCAACCACATGGAGGCTCACAACCATCTGTAACGAGATCTGGTTCGCTCTTCTGGTGTGTGGGCATACACTGTTTATATAATATAGGCAGAACACATACACATAATAAATAAATAAATCTTAAAAAGAAACAGTTGCAGTCACAAATGGTGGTGCACGCCTTTAATCTCAGCATTCAGGATGCAGAGGGAGTCAGATCACTGTGAGTTCAAGGCCACCCTTGTCTATGTAGTGAGTTCCAGGACAGCCAGAGCTACATAGTAAGACTGTCTCAAAAAACAAAAACAAACAAAAATTGGTTGCCACCACCAAGAAGTATGTTTCACATATTGTATTTTATGAAGAAATAGGCACATACTAAGGTACTTGTTCTCTTCTGGCTGGGAGGGAGGGTGAGGAGACATTGATGGTCGGAGCTCCCACCAGCCACCAGTGCTCAGGTCTCAGAGATAATTGCATTGCTGCCACAGACGCAGGCTGAATCGTGCAGCTTGGTTCTCCAGTGTGTGTGTGCCACTCTGTCCTCTCCCAGCAGCCAAGGGCGGTGGCCTGGGTGGCAGTCCTGACCCTGTTTAAATTGGACACGTGTGGGTTTGTATGCAGCCTCACCTCTACAGCATGCCGTTTCCTCTCCTGTAACCTGAGCAGCTGGGACCTAACTGTTCTGCAGGTGTTTTCACTTCTGCTTTTCTTTAGGTCCTTTCCTTTCCTTTCCTTTCCTTTCCTTTCCTTTCCTTTCCTTTCCTTTCCTTTCCTTTCCTTTCCTTTCCTTTCCATCTTTGTAGAATTGCCTTTTGGTAATTTCATAATGCACAGTTACTTACATTCTGATTATTAGGACCCCTCCCTCTAGCATCTCTCTAACCTCTACTACTGGCTGTAAGGTCCCTTCCCACACTCACTGTTATTATTGTTATTGCTGTTGTTGTTTGAGATCCATTGAGTTTTAACCAGGGTCATCTGGGTGACCACGGGTTTGGAACCATCCATTGGAACCTGGTGGGCTCCTCAACTAATGGCAATGACTACCTTGCCTCCAGAATCCACCAGTAACCAGTAGTTCATCTTGGAGGAGTAGACCCTGCAAGCTCCTCCCTGATGCATGATTGACTGTTGGCAGGCCCAGTCTCCTGTAAGCCCACTGTAGGTACCGTAGCAGCTATGAGGTCCCGACTGCATTAGATGTACCAGTCGGGAAGACAGCGAGCGTTTCAACTGTTTCTGTGATGCTTCCCGGAAAGATAAATTTTGTCTTTGGCATTTAATGAACCACAGGGGCACAACCCACTTATCATGTGTCTCTTCTGTGCCAGGGCTCCGGTTTAGAAATACAAGCGTGGCTTGGGTACAGTCCCTGCCTCTGGGGAGCTCCCAGGCTGGTGACTCGGGACCTCAGATTAGATACATTGTGACTGGAGTTTAGGGCAAATCCCTGGCTCTGAGAGCCAGAGTGGACTAGGCTCAGCCACCTGTCCCAATGTACCAGTCAAAAAGATGAGCAGCAGTGACAGGCAGGCAAGGAGCTTCGATCAAGGTGCCCACATTGGGAAGAATAGATGAAGGGTCTCCAGGAGCATAGACTTTGGGACTTCCTAGGAACACGGAGCAAAGGAGAGGACTGGGAGGCGCTTCTCTATCTACCTCACTACTACCTCAGCTCTGGTTCTGCTAGGGCCTTTTTGGGAATCATTATGGCTTTTCCCCACCTGCTTTAGGGAGGGAGCAGTGTCTGGTCCATCCTTTGGGTGTAACTTCATCATGGGTAGATCTGTTCGGTGAGGCTTGCTGTTGCCTGGGGGGTGATAATCTGATACATTGTCACAAAGACTTTTGTCTATCATTCATTGGAGCGCATTCCCGGGCTCCAAGGGAACTCACCGCAGCAGAGTGAATTAGGAGCAAAGGAGTTACCCGTGGCTCAGTTGGCAGAAGGATTTCCCAGCATGCATAGATCCCTGGGTTCAACCCACAGCACCCCATGAAAGACAGACAATGCAAAAACAAAAACCGGGGGAATTGTGGTGCATGCCTCTAATCGCAGTACTAGGAAGACAGAGACAGAAAAATCAGAAAGTTCATGGCTATCTCCAGCTAGACCCTGACAAAAACAAACAAACAAACAAACAAAAACAACAACAACAAAAAAAACAACGGCAGAACTAGACCAGTGAGGGTCTGTACAGAGTTTGTTAGGCCTGTGCCCCATACCTTCTTTCAACATCACAATAAAATATGTTGAGGATCCTTCCAAGGGCACACGCTTCCATCACATGAGCTTAGATAAGTTACTTACATTTGTCTGTCTGGCTTTTTACCCATCACTTGAAGATATCTTCCTACCCACCTGTCTCATGGTACCATTGGCTCTGAGTAGACTCTGAGACAGGAAGACTATACATGAGCAAGAACTGAAGCAGGAATTGTCCATGTACAAAAGCTTGTCTCCCCTTCCTTCCTCCCTCCCCTTCCCCCTCCCTCCCTCCTTTTTCTTTCCGCAAAAGAGATGGAGGTACCTAGGCAAGCTATCCACTCTTGTTCCTCTCCATTGTTCTGTCATCAGAAATTAGGCTGGCATCTCCCTGGCTGTCCTCCAGACTCTAGGCTGTCTGTCCATAGTGTCTTCAGTGCAGGAAGAGCAGTTAAAGTGCTTTGAAAAGGAGGGATCTGTCTCTCCTGCTTCCAACACATCCCAAGCTCTGTTCTATACATTCTATGCCTCATCTTTGGTGGGCTCAGGAATATTCACTCCTGTCAGCAGATCCTGGGTTCAATCCCAGGTTGGCCAGGGATGGAGAACCCACGTGAGGGGCTTGGGAGAAGAGATGCTTGGAGACCCCGACCTAGGCCTAACAGAGGGAAGCCCTCTACTCTCTCTGTGCTTTGCAACAATATGTGAGCTTATGGGAAGACTCACAGCCTTCACTGGCAGCAATCTCACTAACTTGGCGTCAGGTAAACTGATGCAAAAAAGTGTGAAAGCTGTGACCCAGACACAGGAGCCTTCTGTAGCTACACCAGAGCAGCTCCTTCTGGGAGTTCTCCTGAGCATCTGGCACCTCCCCATGACTCCGCACTGAGCTGACCTGCAGAGTGTTAAGTAGAGAGCCCCCACATGCTAGTTACAAGGCTGTAATCCTACACCCCCTAATCTGAAACCCCAGGGAATTCACCCTCCACACATGCCACCCTCAGTCCTCCTCCCTCTCTGGAGCTACTGCACCTGTCTTCCATTTACCTGCAAACATCCAGCCTGAAGCAGCAGGGGGTCTCAGGTTCCCTGAGGTGGCAGCCAGGTTAGTTTGGAGGATGTAGGAAAGGCTGGATCTGCTGGCCTGCCTGCCTGCCAGCCTGGCCAGTTCAGACGAAAAGGTAACAGTCCTGTGTGTTGACTGATGTGATGTGTGGGTGTGAAGTCATCTCCCTCTCCAGTGGGGCAGAGAAGTGATCTCTTTGGATGCTGCTGGGTCCCCAGGTGCCTCCTCCCTCCTGCTGCTGCTCTGACTCCTATTGTCAAACACTGCAGGTGTCCCGTAGGCAATGTTTGTGTAATCAGCATGCTTGGCAGCGCTGTATCAAGCAGCTGTTGTGAATGCCTTATGTAGAAAGCCCTTGTTACCCATGCATGCAATTGTCCTGGCAGGCTTGGTGGGTATCAGGTCAGGGAGTTGAGTCACCCACAGGTGTACTGCTTGCACCAAACTGACCTGTGGGCCTCCTGGCTGTGACGTGCCTGCCCACGATACCCATGACCAAAACATTGATCCCAGGCTTCCAGGACGATGTAACTTCTTTCTCTGTCCCTCCCAGTGTATTTTCTAATAGATTGGCTATGGGGCTTCCGTGGCTCTTGACTGCAGTGTCCAGGAATGACATAGTAATTGTCTACACTCTCTAAGCGAGAATATCTAAGCTGACCCCCCTTGTAAACATTCAAGTTTCAGGGACCCATTTGTCCATTTAGAGGGTACAGAGGACCTGGGCCTGAAGCAAAAAAAATGTGAAAGTGTGACCTAGAGATGGGAGCCTTGTGCAGGATACCAGCACATCCGAGCTGACCTGCAGAGTGTTAAGTAGAGGGATGGATTCATAGTGATGTGATCTCACCCAGGTGGCCGTGGACTGGAAAGGAAAGCCAGTTGGGATGAATGGTTTAAGGAACCTTGTGCCCAAGGCGGGAAGAGCTGAGTACAAGAGAGTATCCTCACTGTTTAGTTATTTAGGGACTGTTCTATCTCACTAGGAAAGCTTGTTTAGAATTGTTCCCTCGAGCATGAAGTCCACTTGATGAGTTTATAAGGGTTAGTAGATCCCTGAGGCTCGGGCCATAATTCAGAGACTGAATAGGTATAGAGAGTGTCTCTGTTCCAGTAATCAGGCTGTGTGATTCGTGTTTAGAGCCTTACCTGGACTTAGGGAAGGAGGCATGGTGATTATTCTCATTTTAAAACACAACCAGCTAAGGCCCAGGATATCAAATTACTAACTCAAGGTCACACAGAGTCAAAGGGAAAGATTCCCACCAATCCCAGTCTTCCTTTCCATAGCTAACTTTCCTAGTTTGGGTTTTGCTCAAGGAAGCTAATGGGACCTGTATTAGTCAGAGTGCTCTAGAGTAACAACTTATAGAATGAAACTCTATATAAAAAGAGGATTTATTGGATGGCTTACAGGCTATGGTCCTGCTAATCCAATAAGGGCTGCCTATGAATGGAAGGTTCGAGAATTCAGTAGTTGTTCAGTCTCCAAGAGGCTGGATGTCTCAGCTGGTCTTTAGTATACAATGGAATCCCAAAGAAGTAGACTCTAATGCTAATAAAAGAATGGACTTGCTAGCAAGGAGAGAGCAAGCAGGCAAAAAACAAAACTTCCTTCTATGTCCTTTACATAGGCTGCCATCAGAAGGCCAGATTAAAGGTGGATCTTCCCAGTTCATATTAAGCAAAATCCCTCTTGGGTATGCTCCTCCATTTTGGGATTTTAGTTAATTCCATGTATAGTCAAATTAACAACCAAGAATAGTCATCACGGGATCCCAGCAGCCCATCTGAAAAATAGGTTTGTTTGAGGAAGAAAGAGATTCTCCCTCACTTTCTTTCGTAGCCCAAGTACTGCAAACATACACCATCTGGAAGGAAGCCTGCTTGTAAGCTGCAGTACAGACAGGACGTGGTACCTCTGTCATCATGGAGGAACCCCTTTCTTCAGTTTCTGCTTTCTCGGATGCCCCCAGACATTCTCCTTCCGAAGTGGGGACCGTCCTGAGGAATAGAGGAGTGAGCTGGGTACCATTGGTTCTGGGTAGTTCATTCATTCAGTTCTTCAACAGACACTGTGGATACTGTTCATGTAACCATGACACCAAGGACCGATCATGCAGAAAGTCCTAGGACATGTCCTCTGCCCAATAGGAAGCTTGCCAAGATGGCCCAAAAGGTGTGTGGACAGACAAACACACAGACATCTATTTATCCAATTAGGAACCCTCTTCTGAAAGGCAAATCCCATACAAATTTAACTAGCTGTCAAGACCAGCTATATGAGTATACACACACTCTCTGCCTCTCTTTTTGTCTGTCTCTGTTTCTCTGTCTCTCTGTCTCTCTGTCTCTGTCTCTTGCTCTGTCACTCTCTCTCTCTCTCTCTCTCTCTCTCTCTCTCACACACACACACACACACACACAAACAAAAGGTGTGTGGAGGTGCAGAAGAAATGAACTGACAGGTAGAGAAGCAGGTATGAATAGGAGACATCTGAACCTTGAAGACCCAGGAGAGCCAGTTTCGAAAGGCCCGGAAGTGCAGCTGGAGGAAAGAGAGAATGTAAAGACGAGGTCTAGGGTGCTGGGATGGATTCTGAAGCACAGCCCCAAACTGCTAGTCTCCAGAGCAGTGTGAATGGGAATGCTGGGAAAGGAACAGGGTGCATGGGCTGGGCAGGCTTTCGAGAGCCTTGAGTTATCGGATCAGAGAGACCTGGCCCGCTAACTCCCAGCCTGTGCCCTCACAGATGCTGGGGCAGGCTCCTGAGCATTTTATTATCAACAGAAAGTGACAAAATGTGGGCAGGGGCAATAGGTCAATAACTAGGTAAGGTGCTTGCTGCACTAACGGGAGGGCGTGATTTTGCATCTTCAGAACCCATGTAAAGCTGGATGTCAAAGCGTAAGCATCTATAGTCCCATCATATTCCTACAGAGGGTGGAGATGGGGACAAGAGAATCCCCAGAAGCCTGAGGGCCAGCTAGCCTGCTGTATGCAGTGGACGTGAGACTGTCTCAACCCAGTGGAAAGTGAAGATTGGTCCTGTCCTCTCTGACCTCCACACACATGCCATGCCATGAACATGTGCACAGCATGTGCCCACACATGGAAAATGCCAACATTTGTAAACAAGATCCTCCTTTATTAAAACACAAAAATACTCCTGATGACTGGGTATGGCCCTGCATACCTATAATCCCAGTACTCGGGAGGCTGAGACAAGAGAAGTGTCACAAGCTCAAGGTCAGCTTTGAGACTCAGTCTCAAAAACAGACAAAAACATCAACAACAACAACAACAAAAAGTTGGATGGATTATGCTGGTCGTTGGTGGCGCACGCCTTTAATCCCAGCACTCGGGAGGCAGAGGCAGATGGATCTCTGTGAGTTTGAGGCCAGCCTGGTCTACAGGGTGAGTTCCAGGACAGCCAGGACTGTTCCACAGAGAAACCCCGTCTGGGGGAGAGGGGGAGGGGTGGGATGTTGGGTCATATTGAAGATCAGTACCTCAAGTAACTCTTGGCTCCAGAGAAAAGGGGGGAGTTTGGTCCTGTGCCTGCTTATGGGATTGTCTCTCATCTGGCACACGAAACCTCATGAATCTCAGTGGAGAAAAGGCTTCCTCAGGCTGACTACAAGGGATCATCTATCATTTCACCAACAAAGCTAGGTCCCAAGGCCATTGAAGGAGTTTGGAAGCTCTGGCTAAAAGGCCTGAATGGGGAGGCCAGCAGCCAGCCACCAACTCCACCCAGCGCAGAGGTAGATGGACCCTCTATCTGAGTTTTACAGACCGGAGGAACAGCTGGAAATGACTGGCCTCTGGAAAAAAAATAATGAAATCCACATTATCATTTCAAAGCCTCCTCACACAAATACTAAAGAATCAGGAAAGCAGGTACCTCATGTTGCTCCCGGAATCGAAGAAATGCTATCTTTCAGTTATCGGATTTTATTTCTTTGCAGCATTACGTTTTATACATATTTATTCATGCAGAACAGAAGCACGGAGTTATTGAGGCTGCCATGGGAGCGGAAGGAAAAGCTGTTATACATAAGAATGCATCGCATTTACGTCCTCACACTTCCAACAATTGAACTATATGCAACTGCTTTTTTTTTTAATAATAATAAAATACCTCTCTGGTTTGCATTTAATTTGCTGGTTTTTTTTTTCTTTCTTAGACCTGAATTTTCATAAGCCGGTGGAAAATGTGAAAGGGCTGTGGGATCCAGATCCTTGAAGATACAGACAGGGTCGGGGACTGGCAAGAGGCTGCTTTGATGCAGAGGGGATGGGAATCCACGGCTAGTTTAGAATTCTTTCTTTTTTTAACAGACGCAGTTAACTGAACTGCAAGCATTCGTCTTCTGATTTAATAACTCATTCTTCCTGCGTGGAGACCCGGCATATTACAGAGCTGGATATTGCTTTTCAGGTTTTTGAGTGTCAATGATAAATTCCCCTCTTCTAATAAAATACATTTTCATAGTAATTGAAATAGTAATTTCCCAGGTACTTAAAAAGGGACTTTTGCCCTCTTTCTCTTTGCACTCTCCTGACCTTATTATTTATTTTTATTGCTGAAATTCTCTCCACTCCCAAGCTGCACGGTGTGCTTCTGGCATCTGGGTTCCATTAGCCTGAACAGTCCTTCCCTGTTCACAACCACAGGATGGCTCCAAGCACACAGCCAGCTGGGAGGAAGGGAGCGAGCAAGAGCTGCAGTTCTTTGCTGAGTTTGTCGTTTTACCTTTACTTCTTTAGAGCTGAGTGGACAGATGTGG